TCATCTTGCAGGTTTCTCCCATCCTAAGCTAGTTCTCAGACAACAGACATACAGTCAATCACAGGCCCAAGCTTGATGCGTTTTCATCTTTGTGGGTGTTTCCAGAGCTTACATTCATGGCTCACCAGGGACCATGATGAAGCACTGGGCTGAAGAATTAGTAGACATCAGGACAAGGGTCTTGTCCAGAATTCAGGGAGAACAGTTGGAGCAATAAGATATCAGGATCCAGGTAAGGAGACTCTGCAACAGGGACAGGATACCAGAAACAAGCCTACAGATATTGAACCTACTTTTCTGCGACATCCTTGCAGCTTTACGTGGCTCTTGTGGAACTATATCATTCTTTTTGTGGTTCTTCCTACCTCCTCCTACCTTGTGGAGGTAGGAGCAATCTAAGGATAGGTAATTAGGAGCATGTTATTGAGAAGTGGGCAGAAAATTGCAGCAACCTCTCATAGGCAGATTATGATATATTATTTCTCATGGCTAACTGTTTAATGTAGCAGAATACTTACTATCTTGCATTAAAAGTAGAGCTATAATAAAAAAAAAGGCACCATCTATTAAAATACCTTAACTTTTTTAATTTGTCAGATGACGCTTTTTTTAATGCCAACATTTTCAACTTGAATTGAATATTGCTTTTTTTGGCCATATTAGTTTTTTTTAAATGCCCTTGTAGAAATAATTACTTATTTAAAAATTTAAAAAAAAATCCATGCCTTAAGTAAAAACTAGGAATGTCTGGATCATACCTTAGGGATCATAGGTCCATAGAGCTAGAAATGGAAGTGAGTTTAGAGGTAATTTATGAATTATCTCTAAGGAATTAATTCTAACCCCTTCATTTTACAGATGAAGAAACTGAGGCCCAGAGAGATCACTTGAGTTGCACAAGGTCATACAAGTAATAGAATCCAGTGGAATAGCTGGATTCTAAGCCAGGCTCTTTTACTATAAATCCAACATAATTTCCAAGATACCATCAGGGAAGGATGTTGATTTCACACAAAAAAAAAAAAACAGTAAAATTAAAGGCATAGCAGCAAAAGGGGAAAAAAGGTCATTCCTAAAATAATCTAGTGTTCTAGATTTAAAAAAATATATATTTTGTTGTTTTAAAAATGTTGCTGTCATTTCCCAGCGATTCGTCCTCTCTGCAAAAAACTCCCTTGGAACAAGTAAATTGTCAATTAAAAGAAATCAACACATTGGCCATGTGTGAAAAAACATGCCTCATTCCTCTCCTGTAGTCTCCCATCTCTCCACCAGGAGGTGTCTTTTGAAGGCTACGGCTCCAGTGTACCAGGTCCAGGAAGCTAAGAATGTCTAACTAAAGAGTATATAAAAGCAGTTACTATGTTATAATAATGCCTCCGTCAACCAGCCTTCTCAGGTGATAAGCAGTTTCATTTAAGCATTAAGAGTTTTTTTAAAAATGCAGATAAACCATTTTGTAGAAATCTTCCTAAAAGAATAATAAGCAACAAGAGTAGGAGGCCAAGGAAAGAGAGGAAAGAATGGAGAGGAGGAAGAATGAAGAGGAGGAAGAAGGAGGAGTAGGAAGGGAGGAGGAGGAAGAGAAAGAATAGGAAGAAGTAGAAGAAAGAAACATTTATCTAAATAATACTTCAAAGTATGCAATGCTCTTTATACTTACTGTCTTATTTAATCCTCACAATAACCCTGGGAGCTATTATTGTTATCCCCATTTTACAGATGAAGAAGCTGAAGCAGAGTGAGCTTGTATTCCCAAGGTCATATGATTAGCAAGTATCTGAGCTGGGTTTGAGGTCAGGTTTTCCTAACTCCAAGCCCAGTACTTCATCCATTGCTTCACCTAACTGCCAAAAGTTTTAACTGCTTCTCTCCAGTGAATGTATTTTAAGTTTTTCTTGATACTGCAAAGTCATTATTATATATAACTCTTTTTGTAATGAGACCGTCAAAGACTGTAGAAGTATGTAAGGCTATTTGTCCCCCAAATAGCCATACTTTTCAAGTCCTTATGCTTCCTGTGAAATGTTTGCTATTTTACCATAAAACAGTGCTACTATAAATATTTTGGCATATGAGAGTGGAAAGGGAACAAATGATTATTAAGTGTCTACTATGTGCTAAGAACTGTGCACTTTGCAAGGATTATCACACTTGATCCTCACAACCCTGGGTGGTAGTTGCTGTTATTCTCCTCATTTTATAGTTAAGATAACTGAGGCAGATAGATAAATGGATAATAGAGATAAAGGATATTCATCTCGAAACCTGGATAACCAGTGACTTGCTGGACATCTCTACATGGATGCCCTATCTCACATGTGTGTATATGTACATATGTATGTATGTGTGTGTGTGTATATATATATATACACACACACATATATGTCATGTATAGTCATATACACACATATACATTCTCTGTGAAGGCTGTATAGCCTTCATAGTTGGAAAGTATCTGAGGCTAAATTTGAACTCAGGTCTTCCTGACTCAAGGCCTCATACTCTGTTTACTGTGTTACCTAGCTTGCTTTCTTTGATTTCCTTGGAAGTTCATATTGAGGAGTGGTTAAAAAAAGTTTCTAAGATTATAAGTGGCAAGAACTTCCAGGCATGGCAACAAACTGGGCAAAGGCATGGAGGCTGGGGTTTGAATAATGAGTTCAGAGAAAAGCAAACAGGCCAGTTTGACTAGCATGTAGAGTATATAAAGGGGAGTTATATCAAGTGTGGAAAGATAGACCAAAATCATATCATGGAAGACTTTAAGTTCCATAAGCAAGAGATTATAGTTTACTCCAGAGACAATAAGGAGCCACTGAAGGTTTTTGAGCAGAGGAATAGCATGGTCAGACTCATGCTTAATTTGACAGCTATGTAAATGATAGATCAGAGGGGAAAGATGTTGGAGGCTAGGAGACCAATTAAGAGACTATTAAAATATTCTAATTGATAACTGATGAGAACTAATGGAGAGAATAGCAAGTAGGCAGAAATGTGAAGGTAAAATCAACTAGACTTGGCAGTTGATTAGATGTGGGTAGGGTGAGGAAAAAGGAATCAGTCAATCAATAAACATTTCTTAAATGTCTACTATGTACCAGGCACTCTGCTAAGCAGTGGAGATTAAAAAAAAAACAACAGACATAAGACATTCCCTGCTCTCAAGGAATTCACAATCTAATGAAAGGGTCAACTAGGTATTACACTGGGCCAGGAGTCAGGAAGACCTGAGTTCAAATCCAGCCTTAGACACTTACTAGCTGTGTCATCCTGATGGGGTGTGGCCCAAGCCCAGGTCTTCACCCCTTGCCCGGAAGGGAATCTGCCTCCCCTTGTCTACAGGCCCCAGCCCCTCATCTGCCTTTGAAAGCCTTAGCCCACCTTTTAATCTCATTCAGATACCTTTCAGTTCCTTCATTATCAATTCCCATTGTCTATTCAATCTCTTAGACATTCCAGTCTCTGGGAATTCTCACCCTGACCCTTTTCCCAGACCATTTTCCCAGACCTTTCCCTGGTCACCCAAAGTATATAAGATCTACCCTGGCCCTCATTCAGGGCTGAGAATCTCATGTTCAAAAGGCTGAGAACCTCTCATGCCCGTTCGTCCTTATGGCGTCACCTGGCCCTAAATGTTTTATCACTAATAAACTTTTCCACTGGCTGAAGAAGATTTGAGTTGAATTCTTTCAGACAGGGCCCGGTACCGCAATTGTGGGGTTCCAGCAGCACCCCAAAAGTCCTAGACTTCTTCAATCCTGGACAGGTCACTTAACCTCTGCCTCAGCTTCCTCATCTATAAAATGGGGATAATAATAGCACCTACCTCCCAGGGTTGAAAAATGCTTAAATGAAACAATAATTGTAAATAACTTAACATGGTGCCTGGAACATAGTAAGCACTATATAACTGTTAGCTAGTATCAGTAGCTATTAAGAAGGAAGGGTCAAAAATGGCTCCAAGTCTGTGAACTGGGTGAGTATGGTGATGCAAACTGAGACCCAGCGAGATTAAGGGACATACCTAAGATCACACAGCTACCTAGAAGTAAAGCAGAAACTAAACTCCAGATTGCCTGATGGTAAATAAAGTGGTTTTGTGAGCTATTCTTTTCTCTTTGGTCTGGATTCATCTACCCAAGACAGGGTTAGGACATAGATGAGGTAAAATAGACTTAATTCACACAGATTTTTAGCCTTATGTTTGTTTTTGAAAATTCTATTATTTCTATTCCCTTCCCAACATTCTAATGTTTAAAAAATCTTGGAGAGAAAATAGTATTATTACTCACAGTGGAGTTGAGAATCAATATGGGATTCATTTTCCCTAAGTGCACTTAAAAAGTATAATGTTTCAGCCACAAATATAAGACTACTAAAATCAACGAATGAATTGCACTCAATTAGAAGATAGAGGCATCTGAGTGCCTTAGTGGGTAGAGTGTAGGGCTTGGGAAAACTTGAATTTAAATCCTACCTCAGACAGTTAATAGTGGGATTGACTCTGGGCAGGGGACAATCTCTCAGCCTTAAGTTTTCGCATCAGTAAAATGAAGCTAGTAATTGCACCTACCTCTTAGGACTGTTGTGAGGATTATATCAATGAGATGTTATCTGCAAACTGTTTTGCAAATATCAAAGGAATATACTATCTATCTATCTATCTATCTATCTATCTATCTATCTATCTATGTTAACTTATATTATTATTGTCAGTACTTGAATTAAATAGCTCAGTGTAGAAAACCTTGTTATTACTGTTATAATTATTCATACTAGGACAGAGTTTCCCTATAAAGAAGATAGAATTTGTCCAGATATCAAAATATGTTGACTGATTTTTCCTTTTGTGAGGAAACAAGACAGAAGATCCTGGAGTCTTGTTTTTCTCATATGATGTTCTTCATGATCTTCTGTTAAACATTTTGATTGGAGCCACCATTCTTGTTTGCGTAATAGCGTAATTAACATGGATCAATGTGCCTCTTTCTACACAGGGACAAGTGATCCATACGTGAAGTTCAAAATTGGAGGAAAAGAAGTTTTTAGAAGTAAAATAATACACAAGAATCTCAATCCTGTTTGGGAGGAAAAAGCTTGCATTCTTATTGATCAACCGAGAGAGCCTCTGTATATAAAGGTAAGCTACTTTTTTCTTTCATTCTAATGGAAGCTAACATAGAGATGCTTGCTCATTAAAGCTGTCTTCTCTACCTAAAAAGAATGTTCACTAGAGGAGGTTCTCTGTACCATGTGTATCTTTTTGCCTACTTGTTGTTCATCCTTCATTCTCAAAGAGAACCAATGACATTGTGAGGATGAGGTCTTGACTTGCCCGTTTATTGGATATTAAGTGAGGCAGAGCTTACAAAAAGTCGTCAGCCTCACTCTCTCCTCCTAAGTCATTGAAGTCCAGTGGCGAGACAAAAGTGAAGATGACTGGCAATAGCCAGAGATGCAGTGGGTGACCTTAGCATTTCTAAATTATGGATTTTTCTTGGTTTCAGTTTATCTGAGGCTATGCTTATTCAATGATTAAGGGCTAGGTAAGAATTGAGACAAAAGATGGCCCAATTTACCATCACAATAATATCAATCTGGGATGGGAAATCCATCTGAGTTTCTGGCCAGAAGAGAAAACAATTGCTATTTATACTCATTCTAAGCAATAAAACCTAAACAATAAGCCATAGAAGCTTGGGCTTGAGCTGTTATTGACTTGCCTATTGTTTATGAGTTTAGGAAAGAATGTGGATAGGTAGAAGGGAGTTGGTACATTCTTATCCAAAAATTGAACTGAATTAGAGAGGGTAAGATTGGATCAAATTGAATTATTCTGTGGTCAAATCCTCCAGTCATACAGAATTGTGCACTACATCAACTCAACAAATGTTTATTAGATGTCTGTTTGGTGCAAGGCAGCAGATACAAAAATGAAAAACAACATAGTCTCTGTCATCAAAAAACTTACCATCTCAAGGGGGTGGAGGAAGAATAAGAATCATAAAGAAGGATTTTCCTGTATTTTCCATTAGCAGTGATGGTCAACAATGCTTCTACTTACATACACTAAAAATATTATAAAGCCAGACAGTAACAGGGGTAGCAGTAGGAAGAAAACAGTGGCATTTCCTCTCTTTTAGGCTTTTTCTTTTCTCTTTTTTTCCCTATGTGGAGGACAAACCAGAATGCAGCAGGGTCCTGGGTCTTAGTCCCAAGTGAGAGTAGTTCTCCAGAGTAGAAGGCATTAATGGTTGCCTCAGGGCAAAGGTCATTGTGAAATGAATGTAATCTTAGGCCCACCAGTCCCAAGAAGAGAATTCCCGTCCAGGAAGGGGAGAGAGAGGGAAAGACCCATACTCTCTTTAGCTGATAGAAGGTGTGAAGAGGAGAACCAGGTAGACAAGTAGTTTGTTGTTGTTTGTCCTTCATTCTTCAAGAGAACCAATGACATCAGGAAGGCAATGTCTTGCTTGCAAGTGAATTAGATTTAAGTGAGGCAGGACTGTGCAAAGTCACCAGCCTCACTGTCTCTTCCACAGTCATTGGAGTCCAGTGGCAAGACACAAGTCAGGATGACTAGAGATGGCCCCTGGCAAAGTGGTAAAAATTCAGCAATACTAGCTTCTTGGGTAGAAAGGGGCATTTCTTCAATAGTGTGAGCAGAGATACAGCCTTCTAGCAATAACAGGAGAATATTCTGGGTAGCACCAAAAATTCAGCAAATGCAATTTCAAGAGTTCAGGGGAATAGCCTTTTACCTAAGGCAGGGGAATTCCTGTGCCATCAGCCTCTTAGGGGAGAGAAGATGATTCATACATACGTGTGTGTGTGTGTGTGTGTGTGTGTGTGTGTGTGTGTGTGTGTGTATGTGTGTGTATGCATATATATATACATACACACACACACACACACACATATATATATATAGAGATATAGATATAGATATGTAGATATATGTGCACACACACATGCCTCTTGAAGGTGAAAGAGTAAAGAGAAGTCCAAGATTCGATAGAGAGGAGCAAATGACTCAAGATTTCACCCTCCTTTGACCTAACAATCTGGAACTTATACTGAGTGCTTGCTTGCTGACTGTCTGAACTTTGATGCCTGTAGGCTAATAGACATCTTAAGACTTTCCTAGCTCACGAATTTGCCAAAGCCTTTGTTCAGAGAAGCACCTCTGCCAGCAGACTTCTAAAAATGAATTAGCTTGATGTAGACATCAAGTCCCTTAGTGTGACCAGGTGTAGATGAAGGGGAAGCAAGGAAGACTTAACAGTATACAGAATATACTTCCAAGATCTCTAGTTAGAAACAAACTATATTTTTGGATCCATAAATCACCTACAGATTTTTAGGTGGAAACATTGTTGACCATTACTATTAATGGAAAATCCGGGAGCCATTTATGGTCTAGTGTTTTTAGTTGACGTTTATGCATCTGTGGGATTGTGGGCTTGGACAGTAAGAATGCATTTCTGTTGCCCCATTCTTTTATATACTTCAATCAAAAGTACTAGATCAAAACAAGAAGAAAAGGAAGGGAAAAAGGGATACTGGCAGTGAGATTGTGACTAACTATTCGATTAAAAGCATAGTGATTAATTAGCAGTTAAAAGAAAGTTGACGTATAATGCTTTATGAAAAAGACATATTTATTCTATGAAGGCCTCCCCACCCTTTCCAATGAGTCAACAGTCCTGTAGCCTCTCTACTTATGTATAATTATTTGGCTAAATGGATCATTTATTTGCAGAGGAACTCAAGGCACCATTTGAACAGAAAAAAGGAGAGTAGTTTTTTCCTCCAATAATCGTAAAGGGTTATAATTTCTGTCATCCTTGTTCTTTGTATCCCTCATACATTATAAATTTATTAGAGTTATTTTATGTATATAAATGTGAGATGCACAAATTTAGAGATACCTTTGCTATAAATGTTCATATGGACTATTTGGGCCCAACCAGTGGTAGAGCCTTCTGAGCTCATATTGGTCTGATCAGCCACAGTCAGACACACTGTGCCTTGACCTCAACATAGTGATGCCATTCTGGTCCTCTTCCAGAACAAAGGACAACAACCAAACAGCCAACCATTAGAGTTATTCAGTTACCAAATAATGTATCTTGTATATGCCCCTTATTAGTTTGTAAGCTCCATGAGAGCAAGGAACCTTGTGCTATTTTTTAAGTCAGATTTCTCCTCATTCCTAGGCACAGCCCCCTAAATATAATAGACAATTAATAAACAGTTGCTGGGTAAGTTTGTTTTTTTCTCTTTCCCCAGTAGAGGGGAAAAGCAGAAGCAAAGCCTCAAGCTTGAATACCCTTATTCTGGTTTCATATCTCAGTCATTTTCATCATTACCCTTTTGCTATTCCCTTTTTGTTCATATCATCAGATCCTATTTTGGTTTGTTTCTGTGTCATGAATATTCACTCACTGCCAAGTCCTGCTGGCATTTCTACCATAACACCTCATGACTCCATTCCTTCCTCTCACCACCACAGCTAGATTTAAGGACTCATTTTACATAATAATTAAGTCTCCTGTCTAGGTCTTTGGCATCTTTTCCTTCCCATCTGCCTTCTCTACTACCACCAGTAGCTTTCTAGGTGCCCTTTTGACCACACCTCTCCCCTACTCAGAACCTTGCAGCAGTTTTCCATTTCTCCATATTCTCAGTCTAAAAAAAAAATCATAATTCAGTGACTTTCACCAGTCTGAACCCACCTGCTGTATGTTGCCTGCCACCATTCTGCAAATGTTCTTCACTTTAGACCACTAAACCTTTCTTTTCTTCATCTTGTTTCCCTACCCTTGACTTCTGGACCTTGTGCAGCCAAGACTACATACCTGTTTCCTTTGGTATTCCAAGACCTACATCCATTTAACTTTCGACACTTGCACTGATTTTCTGGCTAGATTTAACTATGTAGTCAAAGAGAAAGTCAAATTATATATTAATAACTCTTTTGATGTATATTAAGTGTAATTGTTAAAAAAAAAAGAATAGTGCATAGTTCTTTCCCATCCCCAAAGAGATCAGAAATGAATTCATAGTCTTAAAGTACAGCAGGAGAGATCTAAATTGCCTGTTCACAGAGCCTCACAATATTTGCTTGTAGAATCCTAGAGTTGGAAGGGCCCTCAGACATCATCTGCTCTATTTTCTGAGTTATGAATGTTGCCTGAAATGTAAGAGATTATGAAATCAATTCTGAGGGTCTTTAGGAAGACTGTGAATACCCATTTCAGGAGTGTTTTAAGCAAGTATGGGCTGGAGAAAAGCAGTGAAATGGAATTGTGGCATTTCCATCAAATTCTTAGATTCTTTTAAGGATTGATTGGTTGTCCTGTTGGCATTATGTTATACTGCAGAATGTCTTCTAGCTATATATAAGCTCCTTATATACATGAAAATGCACAATTCAAATAGAAGATAACATTTTAAAGAGCATTTTTAAAAGTATGCTGAAGGACAACTATCACAAGCCCTGCCAGAATGAGGATGAGCAGAAGCCCTACCCCAAGAAGCGCAAGTAGAACTCCACTGCCCACCAGCCAACACCAAGATCAGCCCTCGATACAGTTATAATGTCAGTCTCTGGAGGCAACAAGTAGCATCAGGAACTGAGGCTAGATGTGAGAAACTTTTTCTGGGGCTCCAAGGATTGTACCCGAAAAATCAGATTATTGATGTAATCTATGATGAATCTGTCAATAAGCATGTCTAAAACCAAGAGACTGGTATAGAACTGCATCGTGCTCATCACTAGCATTCCATGCCATCAGTGGTAGCAGTCTCATTATGCCCTGCTCTGCCTCTGGGCAGGAAGAAAGGAGCAAAATAGACTCCCTGGAGGAGAAATTTTGCATAAGAAGTAATCAAAGAAGATATAGAAGAAATCCAGAAGAGGAGTGGAAGAATGGCAAGATCAGCCTGATTCTGGAAGAATGTTTTCAGCAAGGCAAACTGCTCCTGTGTATTGCTTCAAGGCCAGGCCATTGTGGCTGAACAGATGACTATATCCTAGGAGTGAGGATCTGTAGTTCTACTTTTAAAATATTAAGGCCTAAAAGGGCAAATAAACCCTGACTCCGAGATACACTAATGGAATAAATCCCAAAATTG